TTCTCCACATTGCTAAAAGAAATATTGCACACTTACTCTTAATGCATCTTAAATCTACTACGAAAAATCAACACCTTTGGCAACCATAAATGTTAGAGCTCAATTTAAATCGAACCATGCACCACAAGATTAATCCAACACCAATACTCAAAAAGTTCACAAAGGATTTATCCCACAAAGGGAAGGGTGATGTGGCACTTACAAAGAGAATAGAAGAATGAGTTGGTTACTTCACTATACTCACAAAGCAGCTCACAAAGAAGAAGAAGATAACCCATACATGACTACTCCATGTTATTTTATAAATCATGCAAGCTGACAAAGATAAAGGAAAAAATATCTGCTCCCATTTTATTCTCATTACCACACCTCCTAACACCATTCACAGAGCAAAAGAAGTATGCCATAAATCTCAACTTGCTATGCATACAAACACATTACACAAAATAATCATATCACTCTCAATTTATGCAAACACACCTATCGAATATATTAATATGTAACATATAACCATGCAATAAAATTAAACAATCACACATGTAGAAAGGAGCAAATACAAATGCATATGTAGTAGCCGTGTTTACTCTTAATAACCCTCACTCAGGTCAAAACTAGACCTAGTAAGAACATTCATTTCGCCTCTCACCTTATCTTTCCTTTTGTTATCTTTCCTAGAAAAGTCTTTTTCAACATATTAAAAATACCATAGTTAAAATACATTTTACTTTTTGCTCTTTCTTTAAACCTACATTTGAAATAAAAAAAAATTATAATTTTTTTTTTTGCTTTATCAATTGAAAAGTCACATTTTTTTATTAGAAAAAACACAACTTAAAATATTTTGTCATTTTATTATAAAATGCACAAAACATAAAATGTAACCAACAATGACCATAAGCAAAGTACAGACACATTTCATATAGAGTAGTCAAACAAACTTTCAAAAGGTCATGTGCAATTGTAATAGTGAAAAAATAAATTAACAGCCAATTCAAAAGAATTTAAGGCAAACAAATAATTTTTAAGCCTAGTAAGTTGCAATGACTACCCCCACATGGTAACCTCAAAACTAATATCACCCTACACATTGACTTCTATTACGAAAAGTAAACGACCATCCTACACAATAATTTTAGCTACAATAATAAAAGGAAAGAGTATGATACGGAGCGGACCATATTTGTGGGTCCATAAATAAGAAGAGATGTGAATACATCACTTTATAGCTACTACTATTCGCCCTAAAGTTTCTTGTAATTGGGACAACCAATCAACAACACCTTGACACCCAAACGTCTAAAGGTAAAATCGTTCAAATTTTATTGTATAACTCGAAACTGAAAATGAACACTACCGCAGTGTCTATCATGCTTTTGAGGAAAAACTATCAAAAGAAGCACTTATGAAAAACCTCTCACGTGCCTGCATGTGGCACCACCGATGCTACGAGTGGACATCACAAACTGGTCACCACGTGCACCATCTTTAGCCGCGCCTTGGTTTGCATATCATGCCTATGGTATTGGTTTCTGTAATCAACCACTGGTTTGGCCGAAAATTAGATTTACAGGTCTGTCAATATCTGGACCGCTTTCTATTTAGATTTTTGCTCAAGTTTAAGATGAAATAAACGGTTTGGGATCGTGACAACAACTCTTCCTATTATTTATTTATTTCTTTACATTTATTTATAAAATAAACTTTTTAAGTTTAGCCAAACATGCTCAATGTCCCACCTACTCGCTTAAATATCAATTAGGATCTGTTTGATTGCAAAAGATGAAATTGAATTGTCTAAAAAATGAATTCCAGAGAATTGAATTGCCTAAAAATCGTTTTCCTGAGAATTGTAAATTATTGTGTTTGATAGGTATAATTTTTCACGTGAAAAATGTTGAAATAAAAGTATTTTTTGGTGTTCGTTTGACTTTGTTTTATATGAAAATTGTCAATTAAAGGGATATAAATTATTGGTATTGGGATGAATTTTATTTCCATTGTCAAAAGCCAAATTTTTTTTTTCAAGAAAATCATCTGTCTTTTGGTGTTCGTTTGACTTTGTTTTATATGAAAATTATCAATTAAAGGGAAATATTTTTTTTACAATAATTCTTAAAATTTGTTTTCATTACAAAATAATAATAATAATAATAATAAAAAAACTAGAATTCAAATTCTTACCATTTTGGTGAGAATTGAAATTCCATCAATAGAAGGAAAATGTCGTGGTAGCAGTTGGTGGAATTCCAATTTCATGGAATTAAAAGGCTATCAAACAAGCCATTAATGTTTATACAGACTAGGTGGTCGAAATTATTTTAAGAGTAGGTTACATAAACTTTCCTTGATGTTTGTGATAATTACATATGCACTATTTTCTTTTCAAAAATTTCAGAAATATCCCTTCAGGTTTATTTATTTATTATTATTATTATTATTTTTTATCAAAAATTCTCCTTGTCAACTAAAATAAATAAATAATTTTCTTTTTAAGAGCATGTTTGGTACAATTTCAAATCCAATTAAAATTAATTTTTTGACCGTTATTTCACTATTCCAATCGTTATTTTTGAATTCTTCTCTTATAGGTAAGACCCACTTTACTTCTAACGGTCAAAAAATCAATTAACAAAATTCATGCCCAACAATCACTAACCCTCTATTCTTTTTAAAACTGTATTATATTTAAACTAAAAAATTTTCTTTTCTTTTTTCTTAAAATATACTTTTTCATACTTTTCGTTTAGCTGAAACTATTTTAGTTTAAAACATTATAAATCTTATTAGGAAAAATTTAAAATTATTAATTAGATTTCTTTTTTTTTTTTTTTTTTCAAATACGATTGACAAATAGTTAACAAATCAACAAAAACAAATGTTATAGAATAATTTTAATAAATCTAGTTAAAAATTTAATATCATTATAATATTGTCATGACATTTATAAAATCATTAAGTACGATATTTTCCAAATATGTTTGAAATATAATTAACAAATCAACATAAGTAAATATTTTTGAAAAATTTAATAAAGCTAATTGAAAGCTCATTAAATATTTTACACTGCTTGATCTACTAGCATTTCTCTAATTTTTGTATTTTTTATATTCTTACATTTATATTGTACTATGCTTAGAATATTAAAGTAATATTATCGTAATGTTAAAATGAAAAAAATTGACATTGAAGGTTTAAATGAATATTTAGCAAAACCTGATTAATATTTAATAATTTCATACGGAAAGATTAAAAATAAAATTTTCAAAACTAAAGCATTTTAATTTTGTCTAAACTAAAATTATGAAAAAAACAAAGAAAGTAATTATATATGAGCGGAGCTCTACCAACTGACTTATATCTCCGAGTCAAGTGAAGCATGTTCCGGTATGTAGACCATATACTACAATGCAAGCAAAAGTTCCTAAATTCATGGAAGGACTTCTATTAGAATTCACATACAATAGTAAAGAAAATGAAATATATCTTTGGTTCATATATAACTAGTCGATATCGACGATTACTAGTTCTTATGATTCGAATACACATCAATTCTTGAATGCTTTCATCTTTTCGAAAGTTGACTTCCATATACGTGAGAGTGTGTCATACCTTTGACTTGTTACAAGCAGGGCTAAGGGACCCCACAAAAAATAAAAAAGTCAATTATGGTAATAAATATTCACTATTTGTAAAAAATAAAAATAAGTTGTAACAATAAAGCAAAAAGTAGCCAACTCAAATGAGGATGGTAAATCACTAGCAACCTATAAAAATCACGAGTATTGCCAATTGTCCAGGACCACATGAGCCAATCACTCTAGTACAACTCCAAAATCACGGGCATTAACATAAACATTATTACAAATAAATAAAAGCTGATGATCGTGACATGTTCCTTCACATTCAAGAGATAGGAATACAATTACAAAAAACAGTAGATGCCAATTTAATATTTACGTGACATAATAAAAATACTAAGGTCTTATTCGATAGTGATTATGAGAATTAATTTTTTGATCGTTAAAGAGAAAAGTGGATCATACTTGTGAGTAAAAAAGTCAAAAATGACGACTAAAATAGTAAAATAACGGTCAGTAATTGATTTTTTAGGATAAAAAATTACTACCAAACAAGGTTAAAACATATATTCGTTTTATTTCAAAGTTTTAAATAAGGGTATGGATGCTTTCAAAATAGTCATCACCTATTTAATTTAATAATAGAAAAAAGGAATGCAATTTTGCATGTGAGCTTCTTGACTTGAGCTTGAAGTAAAAAATAGAAAAATAATAATAAAAAAATAAGAGCACATTATGGATATTGAGCACGCTACACTAATTAAATTGAAGATTTGAAGGACACAAACTTGTTTCCTAGACCCAGTTTGATATTCATTTTTTTCATGATGAGAATGAAAAACATAATCATTACGAGATCTACACAAGAGAGAGAAAGTCAAATATGATTGCTTGATATGATGGATAACGATTATATTTTTCATTTTTATGACCAAAGAATGAGAATCAAATGGGGCCTAATTTATTTTTTCTTACATTTTTAAGGGACACAAACGTATGAAAAGTTAGATATGTATCATCGACCGGTTCAAGCTCACGACCCTCTTTTTAATTAATAAAATTTAAAAATAAATAAATTCAAAAGAGTTCCAAAATAGCTCGAATGCATTACATTTTCTAGATGTGCCTGCTCAATTCAACAGGCAGGCGAAAGGGCAACCAACATTCCAAGGCAGATGAGGAGCCATAATAATAAAGGCGGGGAAGGGATTTCTTAACCTACGTAGTCAAACGTGGGAACTCGTAAAATGAATTTCTTAAACAAAAATTTGTCTGTTTTCAACGAAGACAGCTACTACCAACGTTGCCGTTACACAATAATGCACCCAAAAAAATAAATAAATAAATAAAATTAAATAAATAATAATAATAATAAAATCACATTTAGATAAATCATAAATGTATTCTCATCCTGATCATTAGTTTTCATTTAGCGGTTGCTTGTAATAAAAAATATGTGATTATTTTTCCATTAAATTATATGTCATCTACTTCATATGCCCCACCAGTGTTGTTTGCTTTTGTGTTAATGGGAAGAACTCTGATAGGCTGGTGTACAGCCCCTTCACAATAGGGGCCCACGATACCAGGCTGTAGATTTTTGGTGCTTAAGCTCCACAAAGGCTGCCAACATTTCATCTTCGCGAAGCTCTGGTACTGTTTTGCGTGGGGTGTCTTACCAGGTAATTAATTATTTACTTCATTTTTTAATTGGGATATTTGTGGGCATTCTTATCAGCATTTTTAAAAAAATTGAAAATGGCATATGCAGATTTGAAATAATTACAAGTCACAAATTCTGCAATATTTTGATTCAAGAATTGAATGAATTTAGACAAATGTGAATGCAGCACAATAATGCTGAAAAAAATTAATTTCGTTAGTTCCGAGAATCAAAAGAATCCATAAAAATATCATTATAATATATTGACACTGATATATCATGATTTCATTAAGAAAAACCCACAAAAGTAAATGCATGATATGAGTTGATTATTAATTTTGTTATTTGGTTTTGGTTGATAGAGAAGTGGGATGGGCCAAAAAGGGGTGCAAAGCATATTTCTTGGGCTTTTGTTATATGTTCTTGTGATATCAGCTGCTGCTGATGTTAAGCACTTGAACATATGGCCAATGCCAAAGCAGGTGAATCATGGGCATGGGAGTCTTTATCTCGGGAATGATTTTGAGCTCAAGACTGATGGAAGCAAATATCCCGATTCTTCAGGGATTCTCAAGGATGGATTCTTGAGAATAATTGATGTTGTCAAAGCAACTCATGTTATTGATGCCAATTTTTCCCATTTTAATCCTTCTCGCTTGCTAAAAGGAATTCATATAGTCATCTCATCACCTTCTGACGAGGTATGCATCATGAAAACTAGATGGTTTTGTGTTTTTGGAGTCTGCTTTGCAATCTTGTCTCTTTCTTTGTGTTTATTTGTGGTTGTTAAAATCTGAATTTTATACTGTATATGGTGGTTATTGCAACAAAAGAACCATTGCACTAGTAAATCAATCATGGATTAGTGCAACAAAATTGATTTACTAAGGTTTCACATTAGAAGTTCAGCATAATCAGTTAATTTTAATAAATTTTCATGATCGAATACTCAAATAGTCAAATTTCATATAGCTGACATGATACCCAATCACAACCAAATGGTTCCCATTTGCTATTTTAACATTGATTAATGCTTCTGATAAAAATTGAATTATACAAAATTGGGGTTTTGAATTTTGAATTAACTTGTATATCTAGATGCTAGTTTTTTCCAGAATGCATATGCTTCTTCTTCTTTATAATTTTAATTTTTTGGGTTTCTCTTCAATATAAATGGAATTGATTCTGAGAATACAGAACACCAAATTATATATGAGCCATTTTTTATTGCCTGTCTTTATCATGAAAAATCTTACTTATCTTTCTTCCCACTGAATTAAATAATTTCTTCTCAACCTATTTTATGGCTTCAATGCCAAGTTTTCCTCCTAACGGTTGTTTGTTGTCCACTGCAGTTACAGCATGGTATAGATGAATCATACAAGCTAAATATCCCGGCTCATGGAACACTACTTTATGCTCATATTGAGGTAGACACCATGTTTTGTACTTATTAGGATCATAATACATATTTTTAATGATTTGACCGTGGTTGATAAAAAACAGTAGGATTGCATTATCATGTCTCTTATATGTGTAGTCAGGGTCATTGACAATTAGTCAAAAGTTGGCAAATATATATTCGTCATTTTTCATTCTCCGTTCGCTAGATTTTCTTGTAACTTTTGGTGGTTTAGTTAATGAATGTATAAGAGTGTACTATGAATTTGTGAATAACTATGCAGAAGATATTATTTAATTTCTGGTTAAGGTTCTACAAAATTCTGAAAAGAAATATTTAGAATTGTAAAATCGTATGGGCAATGCAATAATTTTTTCAGCTTGTTACCCAATTTTCTACATTTATGTTGTCTTGGTGCAGGCACAAACAATCTATGGAGCTTTGCACGGGCTGCAGGTTTGATGTTTTTGTATATGTGCTCAAATATTTTTTGTATTGAGCTTTAAGCAGGAAAATGATAGATGATGAAATGCTCTTTCTACCATGTGGTCACAGACATTCAGCCAAGTCTGCCATTTTAACATTACAACTAGAGCAATTGTGGTCCATCAGGTTCCATGGACCATTGTTGATCAGCCGAGGTTCCCATATCGAGGGCTTTTGATTGGTGAGATGGTTTTGATTCCCTTTTCTAAGTTAAAATCTTATGTTTTTTGCCTCGTTGAACTTCTTTTCTAGATTTTTATTGCATCAAAAGGTGAAGTTTAGGATTTATTTGCAAGAAAATCCCTTACCTAATTCATATTATCTAAAGAATCCAATAGCAAATTCATGATGCTTATGGTCATATTCCTCTTGTTCGTGATGTAGATACATCCAGGCATTATCAACCTTTGCTGATGATAAAGAAGGTTATTGATTCTATGTCATATGCCAAGTTGGTACGTAATCTAGAAGTTGCTAGTTTTCTACATGTTTCTTTTTCTGACATCTACTCTGAGATTACTGGCATTGAGTTGGGAGGTGCTTAAGAAATCTCAATGTGAAAGATTATTCCCTCTTTCATACTATTATGCTATTTATCATTTCTATCATTGGAAGAAGTAGGGAAAGATCATATTAAACTTAAAATCAAGTAATTTCATTGACTATCTCAAATGTACTTGTAAAAAATACCACAAAGCAACGAGATATAGCTCTGGATAACGAGTAAAGGCTCAATCAGATCATGCAGTATTTTTTAAGACTTCACACTTTTGTTAGGGATGAGGTCAAAGCTTTTCATTGTTTTGTTTGGCATAGTCGTCTGACCTAATTTGGGACATGGGGCCAGTGCACTTGCACATATAAATTTGAGAATTGTACGTTGATGAAGATGGTTGGCTTTTATTCTTTACGTATGCTGGTACATTCTGGCCAATGATACTCTTGCCATTTGAATGGTCAAAGAAGATCCTACTGTTGTTAATTACAGTTCGATAAGTGTTCTATTTGTATGACAATGAATTGAATCATTAAGATACATTGGCGCTATAAATTAAATGATCACTAGTACACAGTTCTCTCTTCAATCCAAATGACGCACCTCCTGCTGTGTTTCTTTATGGACAATTCTTATCTGATATGATTATTCTGAGAGTTGAAATTAAAAATCAGTCACTCGGTGTCTAAGGACTTCTTATGCCTACAGAATGTGTTGCACTGGCACATTGTAGATTCACAATCTTTCCCCCTTGAGATACCATCATATCCTAAACTGTGGGATGGTGCATATTCAATTTCAGAACGGTATACAATTGAAGATGCTGCCGAAATTGTGAGGCAAGTGATTTCAGTCTTCTATTGTTAATCTTTATGAATTTTTAAATGTTTATGCTTCGTGATTTTAATTCGTTAATTACTGATATTGCAGTTATGCTCAGAGACGAGGAATTAATGTATTGGCAGAAATTGATGTTCCTGGACATGCTCTCTCTTGGTACTATGTTCAATATGAAACTTACAAATTTAGAATCTTTGAGAACACAATTTTGATCTTAATAACAAGTCCGCTTTCAACATTTAAAAGCACTAGTTATGCTAAAGCTGCATCTTCTTCCACAAATCTGTCGATGCGACGGCGAGAAACTTTGTTTGCTAAGTTTGACTACTGGTGGACAGGATTTATTTTTGTAATATCTGTGACCGGAGAACCTAGTTATTCTTCCGAGCATGTTTGTTAAGCGCTGATGGGGATGCTCTGTGAAATGAATTAAAACTTTTGTTTCCTTTATAAGACTTGGTCGAGGATGACATGTTTAAGCACCAAGTACAAATACCTAGAATTTCCTACTAATTTAGCTACTTTAAACAGTTCGATGAACCCGTACTGTCGTCGTGGGAATCAGAACCTAACAAAAACAACAATTTCTTGAATACTTGATTCCTGGTATTATGATTATTAGCTCTGATTTGATGCCTTCATTGTATAGTTTTACTAAGGGATAATTCGACATGTACATTATGGTGTCTATAAGGGTGTCCATAATGTTCATGTGGAATTCCGAGATTGGAGGGTTGAAAAAACTGTTTTTCAACTCTCCAATGATGTTATACCACTTGTACCTTATGAATATCATAATATACATATAGCATAACCCTTTACTAAGAGAACCTTGGCAGCTTTCTGGAGAACTATTTAACGACATAATGAAGAACTCTTCTGTTGATATGGGAATAGAATTGAACTGCATATACAGTTGTAGAGTATATGCAAAACATGAATACATTATGAGAAACTGTTATTTATACTTATAAACTCCAGTCCTAAGCTTGTCTACCAAGTAATATAACTAGAAGGAATCAACTTAGCCTATGACTTAACCTACCAGGAAAAAATCTAGATCCTAGAATATCTGGAAGCATGTGAACAGTAAGTATGAACTTTATTTATCAGATTTTCTTGTGTCAGGAACTTTTTCTTCTTGTTTGCAAATAATCATGTGATTAATTTTTGATGTTCAGTTGGGTTTCCAGAGTATTAGACATTGTGCTATATCTTGTAAAGTTCGAGAACAGAGCATTACAATTTCCATTGCTTATTTTTAAAATGACATTTAAAGTCTTCCTCTCTCCCTATATATACATGTTTCCATCTTTGCAATTGGTGACGTAAAGTTGGAAGTAGTTTTCTTTTTCCCCTTTTTAGGATATAGCATAATAAGTTTGACAAAAATTAACTTTTAGGGGGATCGGTTATCCTTCACTATGGCCATCAACAGATTGTAAGGAGCCACTTGATGTCAGCAATGAGTTTACTTTCAATTTGATAGATGGGATTCTTTCAGGTGACATTTCTACTTATTGGAACTTCTCATCCTTTCTACGAAGATTACCATCAATTCCGATTCACAAAAGTTCTCATTTTTCAGATTTCAGTAAGATATTCAAATATAAATTCATTCACCTAGGAGGCGACGAAGTTAACTCTAGTAAGATTTCCATTTCCAGTAATGTTCATTTTTTAGGTTGTCGTATTGTCATTTTCATTTGTTCTTATTAACAAAGGAATAATGATTCTTTCAATCAATTTGTTTGTTTTTATACCTTATTTGATATGATGATGTGGTGCAGTTCCAACTGCATTGGTTAATGATAGTCACCTATTAAGTTGATGTTAAAGCAGCAAGACCCCCCCCCCCCCCCCCCCCCCCCCCCAACAAATG